GCTTGCGGCCGCGGCGCGCCGGCGCGCGCCCGCTCGCCTGCGGCGGCGGCTGCCGGCCGCCCCCCGGCCTCCCGGCTCGCCCCGCGCCCCGCGCCGCCGCCTCGGCGCGCGCGCTGACGTCATATCCCCTCTCCCCGTGTCGCCCGCAGGTGCTGAGGGGCCGCGACCCGCAGGGCATACCCTGGGCCCGCCTTCACTTCTCCCGGGAGGAGGTGCGCCGCGGCCCTGACCTCGGCCTCGCGGCTGCCACGCACGTGCATTGTGCATGTAAACTTGGACCCACTGCTCGGGGAGCCCCCGGCTGGCCGACGGACAGCCCGCGCCGCCCGCCGCGGCCCGCGGGCGCCGCACGCGCGATCCCTTGCCGCCTAGTCGCGCGCGGCGCGTCAGCGCCGCGCCTTGCCCGGCGCCCATCCCGACACGCCCTCCGCCGCGCCTTGCCTCGCCGTCGCGTCCCCTTGCGCCGCCCCCCCCCCCCGCGCAGTACCGGCAGCAGCGCCTGGACTCGTACCAAAATTACACAAACCTCATAGGTGCGTCTGGGAGCCCGCCCCTGGTGTTGTGTGTGTGTGTCTCGGTCGAGCCTACGAGCAACTGCATGCGACAGTGTGTGAATCAACGGACGCGCGCCCATCACGCGCACGCCGCCCACCGCGCGCGACGTGTGCACTCGTTTGCATGCCCTCGCACGTGCGTGCGTGTGAGTGCATCTGTTTGTGAATGGCTTGCGCATGTGTTATGTGTTCGCGTATGTGCGCACAACAACCCCCTAACCCGCCCGCCACACACACACACACACACGCACGCACGCACGCACGCACACACACTCTCTCCTCCCAGGCGAGGGCGATGGCCCCAAGGTTCGCACGGAGCTCTGCGCCGGCCGCCCCCAGCCGGCGCGCGGCGGCAGCGCGTACGCCTTCCTGCGCAACTGGCGCGGCGTTCCCAGCAGCATCGTGCACTTTCAGGTGGGCCGCCCCTGCCGCTGCTGCTGCTGCTGCTTCTGCAGCCGCCGCAGCCGCCGCCTCAGCAACAGCAGCCGCTGCCGCTGCTGCCACCGCTGGTGCCGCCGCCGCAGCCAACGATGAGCTGGGGGCCCGGCCCTGCGAGCCGCTGCGGCGCCTTGGCTCCTCCGCCGTGCTACCCCCGCATGGACATCGCTGAAACGGCTGAGGGCGGCAGTGCCCTCGACCACCACCACCCCGGCCCTTTTGCACTCATCTTCAACCCCCCCTCCCCACGCCTCCTCCGCCTGCAAACCCCGGGGCCGACCCACTCGAACCGCAAACGGCCGCAGCTGCGCAACCTGCTGTGGGCGACCAGCCCCCACGAGCTGTTGGTGGTCAACTCGAACGCCGTGTGCCACTGGAGCGGCGTCACGCGGCGCACGACAGAGGTGCTCAACCTTCGTGGCCTGCCCAAGGGGCCGCGGCTGCCAGGTGTCGGGCGCGTGCAGGTGCGCGCGCGGCGTCCGAGCAGCCGGCGGGAAGGCGGTGCGTTGGCCGGGCGCGGGCTGCTTGCTCGCTTCCCCGCCGGCGGTCCGGGCGGCAGCCGCAGCGACAACGCATCTCTCTGGTCGGCTTGGCCTGTGCAGCCTGTTCGCTCCCACCCAAACAAGCACGCCATTTGCGGCGCACTGCGTCCGTGCACAGTTGGCTGCCACCACACGTTGTGCAGTGTCACCCAACACACCATTCATGGAGTACCGATCTGGGGCGTTTCTCCCCCACTCGCACCTGCAAGATTGTTCCCCAAAACCCCTGCTGCTTGTCTCTCAAATCCTGCTTTTGCCATCGCCACGCCAGATCAGCACCCTGGGGGTGGATGGTGACCTGCTGGCGGCGGGCGGCTTTGCCGGAGAGCTCGTGGTCGCGCGCATGAGGGGGGCAGACGGTGACGTCATCGGGGGCGGCGCTGACGTCATCTCCGGCGGCGGCGGCCGCGGCGCCTCGAGCGGCCGGGCGACGAGCGCGGGCTCGGCGCGGGGAGGGAGGGGGGAGGCGGATTCGGAGGAGGAGGGGTCGAGCGGGGAGGAGGGGAGGGGGCAGGAGGGCGACGAGCAGCGGCGCCGCCGCCGCCGCGCGTGGCAGGGCGGCGGCGGCGCGTTCGGCGCGCTGGCGTGCGGGTTCGGGAGCGTGGGGCGGCACTGCCGGCTGGTTTACAGCGGGCGCGTCACGCAGTGCGAGAACGGCATCACCAACGGCGTCGAGATCTCGAGATCTTGTGAGCCGCCGACAAAAGCCGGGCGGTCGCTGCGCGGAAGCCAGAGAGAAGCTGGGTAGAAGACAGGCGGCAGCTTCCCTGTGTTGTCAGGGGGTTTAGGGCCCCTCATGAACCCCCCTGTTCGACTGGAGCCTGGTTCTGGACTTATATTGGCGCCAAATCCCAGGGCTCATCGGTATCCCGCCGCCGCCCCCCCCCTTCACCCTTCCACCCACAACCCCTGCGACCCCCCCCCCGCGCCTGCAGGCCGCCTCGGCCGTGCGATCATGACCTCCAGCAACGACTCAACCCTCCGCGTGTTCGACGCCGCCACCCTCGCGCCCCGCGCGCGCGTGGTCTTCCCCTGGGCCGTCAACTTCGCCTCCCTCCGCCCCGGCGCGGCCGCCGCCGGCGGCGGCGCGGTGGCCGCGGTCGTGGGCGACGACCCGGACGCGCTGCTGGTCGATTTGCTGTCTGGGCGGACGGCTCTGCGGCTCACGGGGCACAGGGACTTCGCTTTCGCGGCCGCCTGGCACCCGGCCGGCGGCCTGCTGGCTACGGGGAACCAGGACGGCACGGCGATGGTGTGGGACGTGCGGGCGCCGGGCGGGCCGCTGGACGTGCTGCCGGGGCGGCTGGGGGCGATGCGGGCACTCAGATGGTCGTCAGACGGCAGGTGTGGGGGCGGTGCTTGAGTTTCGATCTGTTTCGAGGGGCGGGGCCCGCAGGGGTGGGCGCGTCGTGCGGCTGTGTCGGCCTGATCGTCCGTTCTTGCTGCCGCCCAGCGCGCACGCTGCGAGTCAACGCGTCGCTGCCCCCCTGTGACCTCGCCCGCCCCGAGGCGACGGTCGGCGCCTTTCTTACGCTGGAACGCCCGACCCCTCGCCGCCGCCACCACCTCCCGCGCAGCTTCCTGGTGGCCGCGGAGCCGGGTGACTTTGTCCACGTTTTTGAGATGGAGGGGGGCGTCGCCGCCAAGGTGCGGCCGCGGGTTTTCAGGCAGAGCCCTAGAACCCTAAAACCCCCAAACTCCCTGATTGTTTTTTGGAAAGCTCCAGCTGAGGGCCGCCTGCGGTGTGGTGTGTTGACGGGTCGCGGCGGACAAAGCCGCGGGGGCCGGGCGCCGCGCGCCGGCAGCGCGCCCTGCTGTCTGCGGCCGCGCCGCCCCCGCGCCCTGCGTGCGCCGTGCACAGCGCGCAGCCCTTTCGCTCGACCGATAACTCCCTTGCCCCTGACACTGACTCGTGTTTGGTCTGCAATGCAATCATGGTATCTTATGCAATCAGGTCCAGGAGATCGATCTGTTTGGGGAGATCTCTGGCATCGCGCTCTCCCCCTGCGCCTCCATGCTCTTTGTCGGTGTATCAGGTGGGGAGACGCACCGCGGCGCCGGCGGCCGCTTGTGCTTGGGGGCGGCGCGCACGTTGATCGAGCTGCCCCCTTTCCACCCTGTTACCGCCCCCTACCCCCCTTTTCCCTTCGAGAGCTTCCCCCCGTTCCGCCCCCCACCC